TGTTGCGCTGAATCCTGAAGACTACTCGTGCCTACTGTCCAACTACCTACCCGTGAAGTGCATGGGAACTTCCTATGTACTACCGGGTGCCTCCTCACTGCAGGCGAGCAGTCAAGGAGGCTGCTCTTGCCAATGCCGAAGGAAGGTAGGGGCTGCAGCTGCAGCTCCTGCTTGCTGTCGTAGGGAACAGGCCAGAAATAGCCTGTTCCCAAAACCCTGTTTTTGTGTCTGAGTCTTAGGTAGGTCGAATACAATGAGGGCCTGAAAATGGCGCTCCGTTTAAGGCTGAAAACGGAATAGGGCCTGCAGGCCCTCGTTTTTCAGTTTCAGATTGAAACAACCGGGGCTTGTAAGCCCTATTTTCTAGGCTTTTAGGCTGAAAGTGCGGGACAAGCCCTGCAGGGCCCGTGCGGGTACGCAGTATGCCACACCCCCCCCTCCTTGAAAGACCGAGCTTACCTGCGAGGGCGAAGATGTCTGTCTGAGGGAGGGACCACAGTCCGGGTGGGAGCAGCCGGTCGTGAACCATTCTGAGCTAACCTTTGCTTCTCATAATGCGCATAGATCAGCGGTGCGGATGCTTTCAAATCTGCTCCTGAAATCCACCGAGTGTCGTCGCGATCGCAGGCTTTGAATGTCGTACTTGCGATCGGTGATGACGCGGTCAACTTCCTAATGACCATCCATAGAAGGAGGGTCCTGCGATCGTCGGCCCGGAAAGTCGTCGCTCTTAGCTGGCGTGTATGTTGCCAACTTTGAGGCGTGAAAGACTGGATGGACCGTCAGATACGGGGGAATGTTGATCACAAATGAAGGGCCATCAGGCTCATCGCCCGCGGCTGGTGTTACAGGCCATGGTCCAAACCACTTGGGAAGCAGTTTGCATGAGACATCCTGTTCCAGTGCAAACTCTTCCGCGGAAACCCAAACCAGGTCGCTGGCGCGGATGGGACATGACACGCAATGCCTGTTGGCTTGCTGCTGCATGCGGACTTGAGCCTTTTGCATATTTGCGCGGGCTTGAGCCAGCAATTCCCTGTACTTCCGGACGGAAGCGGGAGAGCGAGCGGCATCAATGTCGGCTGGTCGTGGGAGGAGAACGTCAGCGAAGATACGGCCTTTCCGTCCACCGTGGTGCAACTCGAATGGAGTCACGCCGATTGCCGGGTGCACCAAAGTGTTGTAGGCGAACTCGATGTCGGGGAGGCAGTCAACCCAATCTTTCTGGTCCGGACGAATGAGCGTACGAAGCATCATTTGAGCGGTTTGATGTGTCCGCTCCGTCTGCCCGTCTGTCTGTGGATGCCGAGCYGAACTTGGCTTCATCTTCGTGCCGGACTCCTGCATGAGTGCAGTCCAAAATGCCGACATGAAGCGAGTGTCGCGGTCGCTGACTATGTCTTTCAGTACACC